TGTCTAAATTGAATAGCAAAAACAATTGAAAGTCGATATTCAATTCAGTTTCAAATTTAAAAAAAAAATCACAGAAACCATTTGATAAAAGTTTCATTCGAAAACCTCAAACCATGAAGATTCTATGAAAATTCAAAGAACCTATTGCAATAAAACGGCAATTTCATACTTTAACCCCTAATATTATAACAATACTACACAGTGTTTAACATTAGAAGCAGTAGAGCTCCTTGTGAAAGACTTTGTCCAGGAAGGTACTACCACTGTATCCATTTCTGCCGCCAAGCAGTAAGGGTAAAGATGCTATTGAATCATTACATGGCACATGAGACTTGTCAACTTATGTCTCAGCGTGACGGGCGCAGTGGCAGTGACCCTTAGATCTTTGCGTTTTGAAACTCTGGTTGGTGTTGCAACTGTTATGGGTATGCGTATTATTACCACCAGGTACACGACTCATACGATATAATAAAAAAAAATAGCCGCTGCCTAAACACTTTTTTTAATAATAACGAACACATTCAACATAACCCCCCACTAGGGAAACCCTATGTCGCGGGTGCCATGGACACACACATAGACAACCACAAATTACATCGAACTTGGGAACTCTGCATGGCATGGTAACCGTTCGGCCACGGAGGCAGTTATAACATGTTTATAATTGTATGACTTAAATTTACTCATAGTCGTTTCTTATACATATGGTTACTTGTATAGGAGTGAAACTAGTTGAAAAACACAACCGCAATATTCTTTTTTTTTATATATATTGACGTCACAACGGTTGTTGACAAATACAACCGCAATACTTATTTCGTTGATATTAACGTCACAATGGATATGACGCCATGTAAATTACACGCTATCACTAGTCATTCAACCATGCAATTTCATAATTACACATTGTTTTAAGTGCACTATTTCTACTTTACTATATGTATATAATTTCAATGATTAAGTATGCTCTTTCTCATTGCTTATATCTATGCTTACAAATAATTTCCACATTTATGCTCTCTTGATGCTCTTGACTTAGAAATGTGCGCCGCACCAGCCCCGTCAATAAACTTAACTGGCGTAAAATCGGCGTAAGTCATCTTATCGAAATATCAGCTTTGTTAATTATTACCTATATTTCAATATAAAATTTCCGTACAATTAAAACGAATTACGGAACATGTACGTACATATTATTGATACTAGATTTAAATTAAGAGCATTTATTTTTGTGTGGTACTATTGCTAAACATAGTTTTCAAGTTGATTAATTCAAGTAACAGTACCCTTAGGCTGCCTTTCCACCAGAGATGTGCGAGGTAGCTAGGCGGTGAGAGGATGTGCAAGGACGCAGTGCGAGGATGCGTTACGGACTCTTTCCAGTTAACCCTTTTCCACCGGAGCTGCGCTAAGCGAGGCTAGGAAATTGAAGTAATCCTATTGGTGAACTCTTTCACAATGAGCTGTACTGCTGCTAGACTATACGCATAAAATTGCGTACTAATTAATATGTTTTAATTTAAGTTAATAATAATAATAATAATTTTAAAAGATTAAAAATTCATGTAGTTAAAATAAAATATTTTGTAAAACATCTGTAGTGTGAATTAGAACATTCTTTGGAAGATTGTAATGTGTTTATAATTGAACATTACTGCGTTTCGGTTTTGAAGAATGCTGATGAAATTAAAGGCACATAAGACTTTTCAACTTATGTCTCAGGGCTGTGATAGTGCTCCACAAACTTTGTGATTTAAAGCACTGAGTTACACTGCAACTGTTATGGACAAACGTGTCGCTTACCACCAGACGCACGAGTAAGAGCAACATGTCCGTTGGTATCATAAAAAATGGATTTAGTATAAAAATATAATTAAATAGAATTGCGTATATTTTCTCATCCAAATTATTCAATACAATCTTTCTTAAACAATATATTAAAGAGTAAACGTCCTTTGTTTATCCTTTAACCTCAAAAGCTTGTATAAGTCGCAAATTCCTTTAAACACATTTTTAATACTTCCGAACTACAATACCTTCTTACTGGCTTTACTCTTGACGGAGAGCGGAGTAGTCGCGGTCATCAGGTCGCGAAGTCTCTAATAATACCCTTTTTCACTGTAGATGCCTTCTACACGCTTATTGAGAAGATCCCTGACGATCCTTGTCATTTATAAGTACTTATTAACACGAACAATGTACTATTTTAAAAGAAATTTAGTAGCAGTAAAGCACCTTGTAAAACAGTTGTATATACCATAGCAAAGTAACGCCATGTATGGACACACACGTTCGCATAAATAATGAAAAACGTGTTGGGACAACCAGTGTTATGCACCGCAAGTGCTTCGCGAGATTATGCGAAGGTGTGCTTCCCTCTTCCGTCAGAAAACAAAACACTCTCCACCCCTCCCTAGCTTTAGATACCGCACTACGAACGGCAATAAGGCTGTCGGCGAATCGTTTTCCCGCTAAGACGGTTTTGATTATTTGATTATAGTGTTCATTTAATCATTATGAAACTTGTACGTTAATACATAACATCATTTTACGTTACTTTTTATAGTGAGTTGTGAATTGTGCTGTGTACGGCTGTTTATCTTCACCTAAACGGGACAAAGAGAGGAGTTTCTTTCGTTTTCCAAAAGATGAAAATAAACAATTTAAAAAAAACTTGAATGAGACTCATTCTGTTATTGTTTTCGTCATTTATTTAGTGCAGAGTAATACATAATACAGATTTATTATATCAATATAATGAGACGCCATAACTTTGTGAGCTACTAGATAAGAGTTTCGAAGTTTCAATTTATATTGCCGATAAATAATACGTAGTGAATATACGTAATTATCAACTAGGTAATGATAGACACGCAATGTCAAAAACCTTGATTACCTTATTTAAAAGTACCTGTCCAAAATATAACATATTAGGAGCTTTTAACTTCAATTTTTTTAAATTAACTTTTAGGATTTTTATAGTTAGTAAATTAATGAAAAATATATAATATTATATTGATATAAATTCCTAATGAACATGTGTAATTATTAAGATTTTATTAATAGAATTATAGATAAGTTTCACGTTAGAATTTTCGCTATGTTGGCTCTCTGACCACGTAACGTAATCATAGTACGAAATAGTGATGGGTAATCCTGCCACGCACACATTTGCGCGTCTGCAGCTAGCGACTTGCTGTATGTAGTAGTAGTAGGTAACTAACTTTCGACCATTGTTGTATGGAGTGTCCGGGGTGTGCCTCCGTACCTACCCGGTGAGCGGCGTCAAGACAAGTCGCGTTGCTACGTTTGTATGGAGTTACCATACTTGTCATAATAAGTATAATTACTGTCATTACTGTGTTCCGGTTTTATAGGATGAGGGTGCTGGTGAAATTACAGGCACATGGGACTTGTCAACTTATATCTCAGGGCGACGAGATCAGTGGCGGTGCCCCTCAGATATTTGAGTTCATTCCCATCTGATCCCCTAAAACCGATCCATTTCATTTTATATTATTTTCTATTCCCACCGGATCCTCAACGCCTCTGTATCAAGAATAAATATTAATATTTTATTTCCACCTGATACCTTGGTACTCACAAGTTTATTTTTGGTAGGTACTGTGGTACTGTCAGCAAGAAAATGTATTTGAGGGTTGAACTGTTTTTTATTTAGTTTATTGTGTCCTTGATAATTATAACATTAAACTAAGAATTTAAATATTACTTAAGACTTATTTTTGTTACTTGTGATTTGCGATATGTCAATATTAATTATTTGTCACAAAAAATGGATTGTCTGTGATAAGTTTCACATTATACTTAGATTTTAAATATTACCTAAGACTAATTTTTTGTTACTTGTGATTTGCAATATATCAATATTAATGACTTGTCACAAACGGATTGGGAGTTGCCACATATAGAGGGGATCATTTGGGATTTCAAATTGGCGGTGGATCAGTTTAGGTGATCAGATGGGAATAACCCGACCTTTGTGATATAATGCTCTGAATGGCATAGGACATTAATACCAAGTGCACGACTTGTTCGTCCCGTCCCTCGATATCATAAAAAAAGACGATTGAAACCGTACTTCCGGTTTTATAGGTGATTGAAGTAATAATCTATCCGCCACCAACTATGACGTCACGCTTATTACAAATAGGTAACTCTGGAATTTTCCAGAGTAAGTAAATTAAATAAGAGTTAATAATACTATTTAAATCTACATTACTTATTGTTATAAGCAATAATACTCAATGCTCTACAATACGTACTAGTCATTATCTATTTGTATGTGTTCTTTGAACTCTCCATACGTATACAAAAAAAAGTTATGACGTCCTTCTGAACTATTACGACAAGCCAATGATAAGTCAAACCTTGTAATTTCAAAATACATAATTCCGTGTGAATCGGTCCTTTCATGTCGCTATGACGCATGAAGGCACTGATTCACTCAAGGCTTCAATTGTTTTAATGTATTGGTTCCCATCCATGTTCCCAACGACTGTTATATTAAATTGTTACTTGTTGGTGATGAGCTAAATAATTGGTAATGTTGTACTATCTAAAGATGATAAGGTCGATCATGTTTTATTTATAATCTCTTCCTCAACAATAGAAACTATAGAATACATTTTTTAACCTATTTATGTTTGCGCAATTAAAAAGATCTGCTCTGGAAAAAACTAGATCTCAACAACCACTTAAAAAGTACGTCTGAGGAAATAGTCTAATTATAATAGACGTATTTATTCAAATTTAAACATTAAAAATGTAGAATCCAGAAAGATCGACACGTAACAAATGTAATCGAATAAAGTATAAAAATGAAATTGGTAAAAATTTATCTTTTGTCAACGAAAGGTTTTGGTCTAATGTGACCATAAAATACAAAATCTTTGGTCATCACCTAAACTTTTTTCAACTACTAATCCCACAACACGATACACAAACGACTGTCAACGTCAATTTTTTTTATTTACTTACAGGCGTCAACGTCGGCGTACAACTATCAAGGTATCAACTATCCATTCTTCGACTACCCTCAAAACGAGGGCACTTACAGATCGATTCAAACACGAAAAATCGATTCCAATCGCGAGAGGTTCCCACTACCCCTTGTAAGGGATACCGACTACACAGCTAGGACCAACAAAAGACCTGTACAAAGAACAAATGAACGGTCTATAGCTGTTGACAGTGGAGTACAAAGAGTACAGGAAAATGAAAAAAAGAGAGTACAATTTAGGATAGAAGATAACGTGCATCGATCTGAAAACGGATCGTATAAGATTGTGAATAATTATTCTTTGTTACCTACTATCTCGAGTCGGCGAGGTAAGTTAGTTTGTGGAACAAAGGTTCAACTGGCTTTCCGGATTTTTACAACACTGTGCTTAAATATTTGCCTCATATTGCCGTATTCTATCCTGGCTTTTGCAATATAATTCAACAAGTATCTAAAAGGTTCGGCAATAATTCTGCAAATCGATATCGTAAAGAAATAATTGCCCAAACCTTGGATTCAAAGACATTTCCTCATTTCACAGTCATATTTGGATAGGTAAGGCTATGCCTTAATTCAACTTAAATGGACAAGAATTCGAATAAAATGTTTATTTGGTTAATAAAAGAACAACGTACTAGGTGTGTCGCTTTTCACCAGATCCACGACTTCTTTCTCCCTTCGTTTGATATCATAATAATGAGGAGAAAGGATCAACAAAACTTTAATTTTCTATCGCTTCGAGAAAATAATGCTTTATGGACGTTGCTATTTTTCGATATACTCAAGTAATACAACGATGTCCGTATGGTATAAATTATAAATATACAAAAACTACTGTTTATTGCACTTACATATGTGCCGTATAAACGTTAAAATGCTACTTGTAACTAAATACGTTGTTGTACTAGTTATTTAAATTCGCGTAACCTTAGGTTACGCGAATATACGCTTAGCGTAAGATTATTTACTCGCTGCGGACTTGGCCATAAATGCAATCGATAAATACTATCAATATAACAGATGTTCAATCATGTTGTAATAGTGGAAGCCTACAGCCACTATTACAACATAATTGAATATCATTTCTAAATGGAAATAAAAATAATTTATATAGCACATTATTGATAAGTGATAACACTACGCCTTGACCCGTAATATTAGTTCCGACAGGTTAATTATGATTTTTATAAAAACTTTCTATTATGACAGGGCCAACGTTCAAATAGTGAATGGTATTAAAATAAAAAACGTTGTGACATTTAGACAGGCAGGTAAGAAATTGCACCGATTTGTTTTTATCGATAACGGGCATGCGCGTGCATGCGCATGCATCACGTCCGTACGTCACTAAGATGACGAAGATGAGAGTTAAACCGCTATATCGATGTTCCGCTCCAATGATTTATGACCCAGTCTGCAATGAGTGAATAATTTACTATAACTATAACCATAGTATAATAAGAAAAGAAACGTAACTGTGCGGCTTGTATGTGTGCACGCCCGCCACGCGCCGTGTACGAGCGCTTGCATTCGCATAATAATGAAAGGCGCATGAGACGACCGCTATGCAATGCGAGTGCATCGTGAGATGATGCGAATATTTGCGTCTGTACACGCCACGCGGCGGGCACGCACACATACAAGCCGGGCTGCTATGTTTGTATGGAGTTACCATTCTTGTTTTATCATAGTATTACTACTTAATCTTCGTTATTTCTTTGACTTCAGGTGAAATCCAGGATAGATCTGGAGACGCAGTGGTATTTCCGGGGCCTACTACTGCAAATTCTTATGTACCTGAGATACCCGACGATTGCAAAGACATCGGGATATGTGAATCTATCCCTAACTATCCACAAGCAATTGTTGACACCATTCTTTCAGAGGTACCTACCTACGGAATTTAAAAAAATATATAGGTCTTGTTTTCAAGCTGTCGTAATCTAGACATGAAATATAATAATTGTGTATAAAGTGTAGACGTATGACCCAAGTGCGAGTTACGAGTTATAATTTCTCATAACCGCACAAACCTGTTCTATGTTCAACTTACAACAATATAAAATAACATATATTTTATCTTCTTCTTAGGTTTTCACGATTGTTACACATAGGAAATGAAACTATTCTTTGGGATCTAAATCAAGTATACGTATTTATTTATTGAAACAAACCAACGTCTCGGGCCCTTTACAGGTGCCATGGTCATGGCTGACTGAGGTGGTAAAGTCATTAACTAGTTATATCTAATGTTAATGCAAACCATCTAATTTTTAACTATAGTTACAAAAGTCACCTTATTTTTAGTTTTCTAAAGAATATTCCGATTTAAGCTACATGCATATGTTTTATAAATTATTTTATTTTATTTTAACAATATCTCATTACCTTAATTTTTTTAATTAAATGTATTATTAAAATTAATAGCAATTAGAATAAATTATAAAACATATACTGCTAGTCTTTATGTCTGAAATATTGGATCCCAAACCGCGATTTAGATCCGACAAAAAGTTTCATTTCCTATATTTCATATTAATATAATAACCCCAATTTAACTCTGTTATCAAATATACTTTTTATTGTTCATACTTTGCATCCTTCATAATTTGATATTATAGCAAAAAGTGACATGTTGTGAAAATTGTAAAAAAAATATTTATGATATTATTTCATGTTGTAGCTAACTTCTGGCTAACACTGTTTTATAAAGTACATTTCTATAGAAAAATAAGCATTAAAATGGAATACCTACTTCTCACTTTCCAGTTAGGTAAAAACAAACAACTGCTTTACCACCTGGATCAGCTAGACGAGCCGCAGATCTCGCAACGAATTGGCCCTGGATATACGGACAGTATCGATCTGGAGCTTTGCAACTCTAGAGAAGCAGTAAGTCTTAATAATATTTTCACTTACAAACCATAATTATATGAATTTAATCATATTAACAACCTAGCTTTCGTAAAAAAGTGAGTTTAGTTTATGCAATTTACAAAAACAATACAATTATAGAATTCAATTTAGTTGACTTTGGGTTTTCAAAGTTATGAATTCTGGGGACATGTAAGGGTGCGATTCCATCATGTCGTAACGTTTTATTTATGGTTGGGCGACTGTCGCGTCTAGCCTTTCCCATTTCGGCTCGTTTTCAGTATGTTGTGACGACAGACAGTCGTACAGTTTAAATTGTCGTAGCTTGTACGATGAAGTTGTTAACACATAGAACAACACGATTAATTGTCGTTCATGACTTTTTCACGGTACGACGACAGACGGTCGTGACAATGAAAAGAGCTAGATCAACAGTTGTCTGACGATAAATAAAACTTCACGATAAAAACGTGACATGATAATCGCAACTTCAAACGATTCTGTCGTGCAAACAACAAGGCGACTGCCATGAACCCATAAATTGTCGTCACGATCTATTGCAAAAAGCTGGACACGACAGTTGTTCAACGATAAAACAAACGTCCACGACACAGTTACGACAGATATTCGTGATATGGGAACAGGCTAGTCGTGACAGTCATCCAACGATAAATAAAATGTTACGACTTAATGGGGATGTGCCTTCACACCACCGGCACGACTTGTTCGTCCCACCACTTGGTATCATAAAAAAAGACAATTGAAACAGTAGTTATGTTTTGTATGTGATTGACATATTCTATCCGCCACGACTATGACGACACGCTCATTACAAATAGATAACTCTCGGAAATATGTAATTCAATAATAAATAATTCAATGTTACTATTTAAATCTACATTACTTATTGTTATAAGCATACTCAATACTCTACAATACGTGCTAGTCATTATCTATTTGTATGTGTTGTATGATATGGGAACAGGCTAGACCCGACAGTCGTCCAACGATAAATAAAACGTTAATCACATAATGGGAACGCGCCCTAACTGTCGTGACTGTGTCGTGGACGTATATTTTATACTAATACTAGCTGCGATTATATGTCTTTATTTATTGTCGGACGACTGTCGTTCTAGCTCTTCCCACTATATCGACAGTCTGTCGTCGTAACGCTAATAAGTCGTGAATGACAGTTAATCGTGTTGTACTGTGTGTGAACAACTTCCTTTAAATATACAAGCCACGACAATTTGAACTGCACGACATAAAGAGAACGTGCCGTTACGAATAAAAATTGTAAATTTTTAAAACATTTCCAGATAATAACGCCTCAAGCAGCAAAGGATGTGAAAGGCGATTGGTATGTCATTCTGAACCAAAAGGACAAGCCCATTCAGGGTTATCGCGTCGAAATTTGCAAGTAAGTATTTCAGACACTTGTTTAAATTAAAAATTCCATACCAAAATTGCATAAAATTGCTTGCATTGTATAAAAATAAAATGGCATACAAAGTAATAATGAAATAAACATTAGTAACTTCATAGGTTTCCCACAGGTGCGCCGACGGCGAAAAAAGCCGTAACATCAGATCAGTAACAAATACATAAATTTAGAATACATAAAGGATTACTGACTCGGTCTGTAGCTCAGTTGGTTAATAATAATAACAAACTAGTTGTATTTTTACAAAAATAAAAAATATTATAAAACAAACATGTCAAGCGGGTACACGACTCAGACAAAGTGCATAATCTTCACTGCCATAGCTCGCAACCATTTAGAACACACACATAAACACACGCGTGAGCAATAACAACAATTAAAAACCTAAAATATTAAAAAACACATTGATCTGTAAACACAATACGTAATAATATGGTATCAATTTAAAAAAGGTGCTTTCCAGGACGAATGGAAAAACTATTGTGAACATTTTTGCCAGGATGAAATCGGTTGAGATACTATAAATTCTTACAGGAGGAAGGTCATTTAGAATGTTACACAAAAGACATGTCCGTGTAGTGTATATTAATAAAAGTTGCAATGTACAAGTCAAACAGTTTACAACACTTTATCACAACCTTTTGACTTCGCCGTTAGTTAAATGATAAGTCGGTCATTGCGCATTTACCAGACAAATGACATTAACGAAATTTATTTCGTCAATTAATATAAAAACATACAATATAATAGAAAAATTGCAACACTGGGTTCACGTTATTTTCTCTTAATTTAGCTAATAAAATTTCTCAAATATATCTAGCCTGCAAAAATTCTGATTGTGAGCTGTCGGTGTAATTTCCTGAATTATAAAATTTGTACATTTCTCGATTTATGCAACTGAAGATATTTTCATTGTTTAGGATCTATAATATACATCTTGAATTGTACAAATCGATCTATATCAATAATAATCAAATAAAAAAATTAAATTAAATTAAAACAAAAAAAATCAATAGAATTACCCAAAATTTTATACTTGATCATTTTTCAGATACGAAGGCAGAAGCTGTGCCAACAACATTGCCACCTTCAACACTGGTTACAGCGCATACTGCAAACAGAAATACGTCCAAAGGACAATGACTGCACTGGACGTAAACAAACAAGCGATCATATATGATTTACCTTTCCGGGTACCCAGTTGCTGCTCTTGCGTCGCCAGGCAAAGTGGCAGGGAATAGACAACATGATTTCGACCAGGAAGCGAAACGAAAAAGATACACTTTTTCAATTGAAGTGACCACTTCAGTTGTTCACACCATGAAAAAGGTTTTATATACACGCAGTCAAACTTGCTTGATGCTTGATGTGTGAATTCCAAACCAAAATCAGACAAGTGTGAAGTGCTCACAAAATTAAAATAATTAAAAAGTAATTAAACACTTGACAATTTTGAAGTGTATTCGAAAGCGAAAATAGCATATCGTGAACTTTATTAGACTATACTTTGTTAAAAGTGAATTTGCGTTTGTTTGATGATAAGATAGTTTTAACATGAAATTGGACCTGAATACAAATGTATATTTACGTAAGTAAATATGTATAAATGATGGATTTAGGATCATTAAACGAGAAGAGCCTTAAAATATGATGGTTACAAAAGTGGCATAATGCTTTGAAGCACAAAAGTGTTCATCACGCTGAACAACTTTAGTCAGAAATAAAATTAAGTGAAAAAAAACTTTCGATGCGTCGCAGCGAGGTTTTCTATAAAAAGTATGGCCAAATGTAACTTTTTTTGTATCTGGTTAAAGTTATTAAATATCTTGTTAGTATCGGAATGCCCTAAACTATTATATGAGCCGTTTGAAAAACCTCGTAAGACGTTATTTCATCTACTGAAAGTAGATTGATATTTATTCGGATGAAATTTGAACCACGCTTTTATTAATTATGAAATGATAACCTATATATAAATATAAATTTTTAAGATTATCACTTTCTTTAATGTTACTTTGTTCAAAATATTAACTTATAATAATTGATAAATAGAAACGAAACAGTTTAAAGTGGTATTACATGGTTCTTTTTACATAAAAAAATTATTCTGTGTTTGTGTTCAAATAATATTCTATTCTTTCTAAGTGTTATGAATTGTGATCTATTAAAGTATTTTATTTGCGAAAATATAACACAATTATACCTATAAAATCGTATTTGTGTAAAATATCGCTTTCTTTGACAATGTTGCATCTTCAAGCTCTTAGGTTTTCGCGATTCCTATAACAATAATTTTTAGCATATCATTTTTTTTAAACAAATAAATGTTTCGGGCTTTTTACAGGTCCTATGGTCACGGCTGACCATGGTGTGAACATGAAGAAACATGTACGCGATGTAAATCCGAAAAAAATATTGCGTTTGTAATTTCACATAATTATTATTTGTTTTATTATACCAAGTGAAGGGCCGAACAAGTCATGCGCCTGATGGTAAGCGTTTTAGTAGCAGTAGAACTTCTTGTGAAAGGTTCGTCCTGGGAAGTACTGCCATCTTACCTATTTCTGCCTTCAAGCAGTAATGTGAGCATTACTGCGTTCCTGTGTTGAAGGGTAAGGGTAGCGCATGGGATATGTCAACTTATGTATCAGTGTGACGGCCGCAGTGGCAGTGCCCTTCGGATCTTTATAATTTAAAGCTCTTAGTGGCACTGCAACTGTTATGGACAGGCATGTCGCTGACTACCAGGAGCACGACTTGTTCGTCCCATGACTTGGTATCATAAGAAAAAGCGATACACCTGTCCAAAATAGTCGCGATGCCGCTCAAAGCTTTTGCAAAGAACTGAGGGGCACTGCCCTGCGCTTATCACCCTGAGATATTTGGTTGAAAACTGTTATATGCCTGTAATTTTGTGTGGTATGAAATATTAGTAATGCAAATAAATTAAAATGTTACATATTAAAATACATAATATAAGCTCAAATATGGTATTTTCACACTTGCGCAAATAAAACACTCTGATTGATAAATTAATACTATATAAGAAACGGTAATGTTTGTACAAAATAAAACCTTAAATGAAAAGTATTTTTATACAACAGCTTTTTCTGTCAATACCATGCCTACCAAACCTAAAGAGGCTTCACTGAACGTTTGTAAGATTGTAAGGACAAAAAATGTTGTTCTAGAAATGTTGTGTCATAAATGTATTATTTTGTGTAAAATTCTTAATTTCGTTGCAATTTTAATTTGTAAACTTCACCGTTTTGTACCGAAGTATTAAAACGTGATGACATTTTTACATGTGTCCACTGTTTTATTTCATAATTTATTTATAAGATATGCCGCTCAGCTAATGAACCTATTTCCGTTTACGGTGGGTAATTCTTAGTGCAACATTCATAGAAATAAATGTTACTGTGTGTTGCGATCTTTGTGTTAGTAATTACAACAAACTATAGTCCATTTATTTAGGTCCTTAACTAAATATAAACAATCTTGAGATGTCTATTTAATTCGAATTTTTCTATAATTAATACAACCTTAAAATTTAGTTTTTGAAATATCGCATACGCTGTATTTAAAAATCAGCCTGGACAAATCCACCGAATTACCTATTTATGCACAAAAAGTCCTAAAGTAATCCAACTATTCTCTCCAGCCGCAGCAGGGGCGTGATGGACAAATAATATGAACGAATTTCGAAGCTTCTAAAATGCTTCACTTGTGATGTGTGGCGTGATTCCGGCGTAAGCCTGGACACGCAGCAGTCTTGGTATTGTAATAAAACTATTGCCTAGTTCATTTTGAAATTCAGATTATAAGTACTGTCATCTAATTTATTACACGTGAACTTAAGTTCAATATTGATATGCGGTTTTACTTTGGAGAAAAATGACACTTTGTGTAGGATTCTGCAATCAGTTTAAAGCCCCTTTAGCCTGACTAAGGCAGAGACTGAGCGTGCAGCGCCGCGCGGCCGTTATGAATGCAGCCATTGCTTGCACTCACGCCAGCATTTATATTGGAGAACAGCGCCTTAAGGCCCAGTCGAAATGTGTTAAGTAATGTTTTACGCATCAGCACCAATGACTATTATCTCCCCCATCCACCTCACAAAAATATTGTTTCCTTTTTCATATCCACGACATTGATATCCATCGTCCTATTAGAGTACCTACCCAATATATAACATTTCATGCAATTCGATGGATTAAAATACTCAACAAATAGTGAATATTAAATAATGTTGCGAAGTTATAAATTATAATTATTAATCAAGTATCGATAGGTATTTAGCTATCGATACCTGATTAATTAAAATTAACAATCTTATTAAGTACATTGTCCGCAGTTTTGATATAGTTACATTTGCCATTGAAGTTTCATAACGTGTTACTAGTTTCACGTGTGTATAAAATATTATTCAAACGTTATTCTCAAATAACTATTCAAAACAATATATATTTCGTAGACATGTCTATAATGTTCGCTATTTTGAACTTGTCCTTTGTAAGTATTTACCTAATTATGACTAGAAATAATTTTAACATTGTCATTTGAATTTAATTTCGCTGTTCCTAATAATATCGATATTCCGAGAAGAAAACGGTTTAACAGTAATTTTCAGGTAAGTTTTTTGTACTCAATTCTGGTGACAATTTTTATTATTTAATTACTCGAATATATTATCGTGAAATATTAAAAAATATTTCAGGTTACCACACTCGAATATTGAATAATACTTCACGAATATTTATAATATATAACATTCTATAAATATTTAATAAAAAGAAATTGTCACCAAAATGTAGTATAAAAAAATACCTGAAAATTAATCTCAAAAGCCAGCTTTGTAAAAAAAATATTAATGTCATTATATTAAATCATGCCCGTTATTTAATTTACTTAAACATAATAAAATTATAAGAAAAAAAACGATATGAACTGAAACGTTTAAAGATTTATCTATCTCTCTATTAATTTTATCTTTCACTCATCATGCTAACTTTGTAGACATGATGATTTACTCCTTGAATACATGTTTTAGCTTTGCTTAATAGTTAACTGGTTAGCGTGTATCATTGATTATTGTAGATTAAAAGAATGTTGTGGGTGTCTTAATTAAGCGCAGTACCTTTTTAAAGAAATAAATTGTTATTAATTGTTATATATTATGTATACACGTATGCTCCTTATGCTAGTTAATTTTGCAACTATCTGCTTAAATGAATAAGGTTAGATGAAAATTCTAAAATGGGCGGTCTTATTATCCTTAAGTTTCAGTTCCTATCAATAACCAAAACCCTACAAGATCATATTGAGAATAATCGTGTCTACGAGGGTCATCAACTGCAAACACGTGGAAATGAATCGACGTCTGTATTGTACATTCCAGACATACCTGATGACTGCCTGAACGCTACGTATTGTAGTTACGTTCCTAATTATCCTGAGGAATATGTTAGTCACCTCCTTATTAAGGTAATTAATATCATTTACCTCCATAAGGGATATGACCTTCTTAAGTGGTTACTTAAGTTTGACGACTATAGCCCAGCGGGTAACCATAGTATAATTAAGACAAATAGTGTAATTCCAACAGACGTAACGGCGCGGTATATATCTGTGTGGACGCACACATTCGTACAAACTCGCAGTGCACTCGAGTTGCACAGTGACCGTCGTCACACGCGCCGTTCATTAATTTGAGCGTTAACACACTAGTATTAATGTGGTCTGAGGTGAACATAGTTGTTTAAAATATTCTTCTGGGTCATATTTACAATTTTTTGTTTATAAATGTATCTTTATAAACATACAAACTCGCATTTCATTTCTTTCATGATTATACTACCATAATCGAGATACTAATCTGCGATACTGGTATATAACAATATTCATATTATGTAAGTACTGCATTTGATAAAGATTATTTTTACATATACATATATCACGAGCACACTGAAGAATATTTTTTTTTTTCAAACTATGTTTATGCGACAATCCTACGCTCCGAGCGATGTGTAGACATCAATATTGTTTAAATAATTAATGGTGCGCTACTTGTCTTATTTATACTATAGGGTACCATTCTGATCGCTAGATTTGAAAGTTACTGTAATTAATATGGGAAACGTACGGAAAATTCAGCAACAGTATAACTTAACACTTTCAGTGCTCTATTAGATTTTAATATACAGAGTTATTTGTAAGATACCAACAACCTCGCAGTCGATTATATTACTAGCCTTATAAATAACAACATTTGTTCCATAATTTTCCACAAAACAATCATTTATCAAAACTTTTAAGTTTTTCTTATACTATCTAAAAGTTTTTAGATCTGTATCTGGTAGTAAAGTCCAAACGTGCAAACGTCCTCTCCGACGTCCTCTACCCTCGCTCCTCCATTTTGCATCGGACTGATAATTAAGCTAGCGCTTTCTTTTGTTGCCACATACAGTTATCACAATTTAGGGCAATCTATTGGAACATTATTTTTGTACGAAAATAAAATCTGATGAATTATTAAAAGTCATTAAACGAAAGTTGTTGTTTAAAATAGTAAAGTACAGCTAGGTTGTTATTACTCAACAAACTGCCAATAAAATGATAATATATTTGATAGTTTAGGCTTGTAAGAATTATCTGTAGATGTGAAAACATAACAACGATTGTCCACGTAACACGTGGTGCAAATAGTATAATTTTAGCTCCATTTAAATATATTTTATTGTACGTATAGAAAGTATGCGGACCTTAATGAGGGAACGTAAGTTAGAGCGCGGGACACGTACCAATAAGACTAAAACTGCTTGTAAAATAGCGGTTGTGCTGCATTTACAATTAGCAGGGCAGTATTCCAGTATCTCTGGTTTGCGACAGGGTTTTTTGACTCTGAATTGGTCTGGTTTTCTGACATATTATTATTCTTACTTAATATTTTAAATAATCATGTAATTACAAATACATGACAAAATTTCCAATCGAAACGAGTACAGGTGTGTATAGTTTCTCAAGGCGCGATTGTAGAGCTGTTACCCACTATGTTAGCTAACAATCTCATTTTGATCTTTAGTTATAGAAATATGTCTTTTGCAGAACAAGATAGACGTGTTTGAAAATAAGAAAACAATGAAAACAAATACAGAATTAACTGAAAATGATTTTTTTGAAGAGTTGACAGTTTGTGACTACGTCCAAGAAGATGTAAGATTTTTTTTGCTTATTCCTACTAAAGAACTATATAATACGCACGAGTTTTGTTCGCATAAAATAGCTATAAAATCTTGATTCATGACATTTAAGTATGTAACAGAATCTTAAAATGTTCAAAAGGTGAGACCAGACGAGCGTAATTTTGTATTTGTGTCGTAGTTTATATACGTTCGACTGAAATTCGGTTGAGGTGCCAGACGAATATATTTTATTCAGTTGCTTTTAAGCGTTTGTACAGGGTGTTTGTGTCATATAGTGTAATGGATCCATTAAAC